AAATGACCGAAGACACAAAGAGCTCCTAACCATCAGTTCTTCTGTCCGCACTTTCTGACCCGACACTGATAGAACCAACGCGTACAGAACCATAGGAGCTGAAGGGTCTTGTCTGTTGTGCTGTGTAATAGAAGGGTCTTGTCTGTTGTGCTGTGTAATAGAGCTCCCTTCTATCATATTGTCTCTCACTCATCCTCCCTACTGTTCCTTTCTACCATCCCTTCTACCATCTCATATACCACAACTTGAGCCATCCTTTCTACCATTCCTTATGAGAATGTGGGGGAAGGAAGAAAGCCACAGCCCACACAAAGGAGAGAAAAGGGAAGAGGAGGCGAGATCTAAGGCAGCGGAGACACCAGCTGCTGAGAGGCGCTTCTCACGAAGGTTCAGAAGAGACTTTTTTCAGACAGTCAATAGAAGAGCAAGAAGAATAATTGGCCAAGGAGATGGAGTGTGAACAATACTACTTCCGGCAAAGGACTTGGAAATGCAAGCCTTCCACCCTTTCTTCCACTGCCCAGGTGACAAAAAGTGCACTGCGCCCGCCGCTCAGGCTGAATACTGAAGAGAGAAGATGGTTGTTCCATGAGTATGGTGAGAAACTGGTTTGTGTCAGGAAGTGTGGCGAGAAGAAGGGTTAGTTGAACTTAGTTCTGCTACTCTAGAGTCATTCACTGCCTCAGGAAATCTAGCTCCAGTTTCTCATCGTTTCCATTGTGCACCATGATTGCTAAGGCAAAAAGCGTCCACAAGGGTGGAGAACACAAAACGCACAAAACAAACCACTGACATGTGTAAGACTTGAGACTTTCCTCTCCCGCCTGTTGATGTGCTTGCTGCCAAATGCTGGGTTGTACCAGAGAATCACAGACAACATGCACTAAATTGGAAAGCCGAAAGTTGAGAGAGCAGTGGCGACATTCGCAGGGGGGTCTGAAGTCCAAAACAGTGTAAAAAGTACTAAACACTGTAAAGAAGATGCTAAAACAGACACATGAATATGTTGCCGACAACAGCCCTGATAAAGTGTGGTGCCGGAGGTTAAGATTTAACTTCAGAGAGGAATACTCTTATCACGAAAGATGCTGCCATGTAGACAGTATGGACGTTTGAGATGTTGAGAACTATGGGGGTTGTCAAATGATTAGGCTGTCATTTGCAGCACCATATTGCAAGGTGACTTCCGAATTCGGATATTACGTCCACCAGCCCACCATAGCCACCGACGGCTGTCACCTGCATGCAGAAGGGGGGACCACACGACAGCAAAGCGGAAACATGTAATTAGAGAACCGTGGTTATAAAGCGAAAGTACAATGGTGATGATTTCCGTGCGAAAGGAATTTCTCCATGGACCCATTTATGAATGTTGAACGAACCCAGAAAGGAAGTGCTATGAACTCAGTTCAAATCCGCACAGACATAAGCCAGGGTCGTAACTTTTGGTCCAAGTCTAGATTCAGGGATCAAAAGTCACATCAATAGCCCTAGAGAGGTCTGAGAAAAGTCCTGGGGTCAAGGGGCATAGGGTCCAGGGTCAAATGAGGCAACCTGTGCCCCCACTTGAGAAAGTTGATTGTCAGGCCCAACCCAGGAAAAGCAGATCACGAGTCAGAGAATTCGTAGCAGTCAACCAATGTGTCCCTCAGTGCCACACTTCAGGCACTGTCCATGAGAACCTGCCATACTTCCTGGGTAGTGCCCATCTTTTCCCAGAGTTTGCCATAAGCTATGCCAAGATGCGGGTGGAACAATCGTGGCTTCTTCTTCTTTAGTCCTCCACTATTGGTGCCTTCCTTGTTGGTCATCACAACGGTGACATCGCCCTTCACCCACTTGCTGCTGCTCTCTCTTACTCTTTCGCTTCCCTCAAGGGGCCACCTGTCAACAGTTCGTCATCCTCAGATCCAGAACCCAAAAGGGAGCAGCCAGTAGGAGTAACATCTGCTCCCACTAAGCCGGATAGTGCAGATGATTTGGAGCCATGATCCCCCTTCAACCCTCCAACTCCTATGGCAGAGGATGGTTCTTCTTCGGCCCCTCAGCCAGATCCAGAGCTTGCAAACTCCTACTTCTCCTACAGCCACACCCGACCCATATTGAACATCCATAATATTTGGCAGCCACAGCCAGTCATAACTGCAGTTTAAAAATCCTCATAACATGGCCCAGCCGCAGATGGGCCCAATTTGAGCGTACAAACCTGGGCCCTCCCGAGCCCAGACCTTGAAGAAGAATTGCAGCCGGACCTGCCCAGACCCAGACATATTTTTCATCACTTGCCCCCCACCCAGGACCTTAAGCACAATCCCACCTGCACTCACCCATAGCTGGCATTTTTTTCACTACCCTCACCTGCCCGTACCCGCCCGTACCCGCCCATACCCGCCATTGCTTTTCCAAGTTTTCAACACCCTTCCCACCCATTCTCAGCCTGACCATTCACACATATACAATTGGTGGTCCCGACAACCCCTTGATCAACCAATGGAACTCGAGAACTACTAGGTACATGAATGACAGGTCTTGAGACAACTGCGCATGCCACATATGAGTGGGAGAAAAAAACGTCGTGAGACAAAATTCAAAGCATATCGAAGTCACACCTCCAACAAACTGGTGGTCTGTTAAAAAAAAAAGAAAGCAATGAAAAATAGGGGCTGGTATCCCAATAGATATATATGCATGGGTGTAGACCCCCACATGCGTACATGCATATCTTTTTGGCTGGTGAACCGTGCCAAGTCTAGACCCACCCGCACCTGGACCGTTTTTTTTCACCACAACTGCCCCCAACCCAGCCCAGGGCCATCCTCCCATCACCTAGCCACACCTGGCCAGGACATGGGCTAGCTAGACCTGCCCGCAGCTGTTGGATCCGGCCGGGGGCAGCTGGGCGCAGCTACGGCCAACCATTTGCAGGCTCTGCCCAAATCGCCTTGAAGTTGTCTCTTCTGTCACACTGGGGGAGTCCCTTGATGAACTTGGCACTTTAGTAATAACATTAAACCACCACTACCTCTGTCACTCTTGGGAAAAATCCGAAAACTGTGTTTCTGCCACTTTTTCCGAACTTTTAGAGGGTATGTGGAAGCTCGGCAGTTGGGCCTTGCAGGCCCATTCGAAAAACAAAAAGAAAAACAAAAGAGCAAGTCAGAAAAGGCCGTGCACGAAGTCGTGCTCACACCAAAATTCACAAGAAAGTATTTAACTACTATTGTCGCCAGTTACATGCTTTTGTTGTTCATGTTTTTTTTTTTTTTTTTTTTT